GCTGTGGGCCGCGCGCCCCGGGCCGCCAGGTACGTCGCGGCCGGCGAGGAGGTGGGAGGGGGCCCGCGCGGGCGCCCCACCCCACGGCCTCGGCGTGGAGGACACATGTCTGTCCCTGGAGTCCCGGGTCCCACTCCTGCGGGCTGCGTTTCAAACTCCCTCCCACCTAGGGATCCCTCCTGCTCCGGATCCCTAGTCGCAGAGGCCGGAGTGCTCCCAACTCCCATAGAGTCACTACAGGATTTCAGAGAAAAGGAAAGTGAAACACGAGGGGGTAGAAGAACTTGTGTTTTTAATCCTGGAGAACTTGCACGGAGGGAAATGATACAACACTGCTTTCGTCTACCCATTGGACGCCTGCATGTGTAGCTGCCCCCATTTACTTGAAATTCATACACACATTAGAGAAGGGAAGAGTGGGGGGAAAGCTAGCCAGTTTTCTTCCCTCTCGTTTCCAAAATACATGAGATGAACTGGACTGTAGTTTTGTGAAGTTTTGTTAGCTCATGTGTTTTAAAGGTGGGATGTCAGACCAGAACCCTCCTTGCAAGAAGTTTTAGTTTTAAATATTATTGTCCATATGAGCAGTGTGCTGGTTTGGAATATGATGATGAAGCATAGTACTCCAATGTGTCTGGTTTCTGTCTTTGTTCTTTAGTTTTTGTTTCTTTGTTTTTAGTTCTCCAATAATCCGAGAAAGCATTTTAGAGACTCTCCCGACCCCCACTAAAAATGGAACCCAGGGCCTTTGCCCTGAGCTACATTTATATTCCCAGCCCTTTTTTATGTTGAGATACAGTAGTCCCTAAATTGCCAAGGCGGGGATTAAATTGAAATCTTGCTGCCTCAGCTTCCCAGAGTGTTAGGATTACAAGATGTGCCACCATACCCCAAATCTCATTTTACTTAAAAAAAAAATTGGAGGGGTAGGGGTTGAGGCATTGTCTCCCGGGCCCCGAACTCCATGAACCTCCTGCCTCGGCTTCCCAAGTGCTGGGATCACAGGCATGCGCAACTAAGCCCGGCTTAATTAAATTCTATTCAGTGCATTTCTTTGCGCTGGGCTTATGATTGTGATGCTTTTATGAGTTTCTCTTAAGTAGACCTGAGTCATCAACAAGTGGTCTTTTACATGGAATTTTAAAGTGGAAATCTGCACTATTAGAAGATTATTATAAGTATGGTAGGTCGTTCACTTGACTAAAACCTTTGCTTGTGTTCTCATTTCAGTTACTATATAGTGTTTTCAGTGTCTTTATTAGTGATTTTTAGAATGGTCTCATTCAAAGTTTTGTAGAATTTCTTTTCTTAAAACGAAATGCTTATTTTTCAGCGTTTGGTTTTTTTTTTGTTTGTTCATTCTTGTTTTTGTTCTTTGACACAGGGTCTCGCTGTGCAGTTCAGGCTTGCCTTGAACTCATTCTGAAGCTCAGGCTGGTCTCAACTCTTGCTAGTGAATTGCCAGTGACAGCCACCCAAGTGTTGGAATTACAGGCGTCCATCACCATCCTGGGCATTTTCAGGGTTTTTTAACCTAGTTTTCTAATCTAAAAAATTATATTTATCTGCACTATTATAATTTGTACCATTTATTTATTAATGGTGCTCAGGGTTGGACCAAGGGCCTCGAGTGTGCTAGTTTAATGCTCTGACCCTCAGCTGCATCCCCCAGGCCTTTGTACTTGCTGTGTTTGAAACAGTCTTCTGCCCAGGTTGACCTGAAGCTTGCAATCCTCCTACCTCAGCCTCCCAGGTAGCTGTGATTGTAGGCATGCACCACCACGGCCAGCTGTTTTGTACATTTTATTCTTGTCAATTTGGAAGTCAGGCTGGTTATCCCTTATCATATATTAAATCTTTTCAGAAGGTTTTTGTCTTAGTAATAGTTTTTATTTTGTTCCCCTAAAAATCTCAAGAGAATACCATCAGTTAATATATTTTCTACCAATGGATTACAGCAGTGCCCTAAAATAGGCTCTATATACCACAGTCACATGTAGTCTTTAATTTTCCTTGTATTGTCGGTGGGCCTTTTAGCCTATTTTCTGTTTTTGCCGCCTTAGGTGAAGAAGAGACAAAAATGATAATCATAAGGTTACAAGTAATGAAACTTTTATTTGAAAATTACATAAGAATGTTACATGTCCATTATCAGTTCTTACAAACTCTTGGCCAGTTAAAGTAGGGAATTAGTAGCTAGCTGTTTTAATGAAGAAAGCAGAATATGTTGATTTCTTCATAAACTGAAGAAAAAATAATTGATGGCCTACGCACCACAAAAAGTTTTCTGCAAGTGGATGGGGTGGTGGCCAGGCACATGGCCATATGTGGGAATTGTGTTTTTTCTTATACTTCATTATACATAATAAGGAACTAAGAAACCACGCAAGTGTGGTTCTTCAGTTTTCATCCTGGATTCTTTTTACAAATAAAAAGGACCTAATCTTAAATCCTTAATCTTTTGTTAATCATTTGTTTTCAGAATAGGTTAAGCCAGAATCATCTCCTTGCTTGCATTTACTTTGAACTAACGCAGCTAGGGAAAGATGATCTGGATTAGTCCTCAGTACAGTGCTTAAAGTTATATTTGGGACTTTTTTTTAGTTAAGGAGACAAGGCCTTTTTTTCACCTTCCTCTGGGATAGTCAGTTTCACTGTTAAACTCTGAATTGTTAAAAGATGCAGGGATTTTTTTCCCCCTCTGTGGACATTTTGTTTCTAACAAACTGCAACAGAGAGTAGTTTTAACACTTCTGAACATTTTATCTGTAACAAGATTAATAGATGTTGTCAGTTGTGCTGTAGCTGGGAAAGACATTCTACCCCAAAGTATGTGTACTATGGTTAAATATTCTGAAGCAATATGCAGTTTAAATCACATTACACATTAGTTACAAAATATGCTGTCCAGTGTAACTTGCTTCTCAGAGGGTCATTTATAAACTGGTTATCCTGGAACTCAGCGCATTTTTAACCATTCATTAATAGTGGAGGCTTTGGATATTGTCAGAGAAGACAGTATTTTACAATCCAGGATGGAGAAATGTTGATTTTAGAGAAGCTTCCAAGAACTGAAACTTATTTATGGTTATAAAGTGTTCAAGAGATTTTGCTTCCTTTAATGACCGAATAACGAATCTTAGAAAGCTGAGATATTTTGAGGATTAAGATTTGGAGATGAGACTCATCATATGGGCAAGTTAGGCCTGCCTGCAACTTTGGCTTCCCAGTGTCTTTCTCTCTGAGCTGTCCCCTTTTTCCACAGTTGTGCATCCTTCTCTCTCTCACTGTTCTGAGTGGACACAAAAATACTGGCATAGTGACTCCTGTGGCAGGCTGAGCCTCATGAAGATGAGGGCAGGAGAGGAGGGTACGAACTATAATATAGGGAGATTAATTTAAGTTGGTAATACTTGTACATACCTTGAAAAAAATACCAGAAGCTGTATCCTCTAACTTCAGTTTGAAAGTGTGGCAAAGGAGGTAAGGTTATTAGAAACTTTGTACCAGGAAGTTTAAGGGAAGAGGTGGTATAATGATTATGTGTAAGTGGGTTTGGGATTTTTCTCTTTCCCCAAGTAATACAGTCAGAATATCTTTAAGCCACATTTATGAAGTGATTAGTGCCTCAAAGCCAAATAGCAATGAGTTATTTTCTGGGACAGCAGACAGAGGTCTAGGCCTTTGAAGAGGCACAAAATCTTAGCCACTGTAGGGCCAGCATGGATCCTCTGGATGCCCTGCCAATATATAGATAGCATAATTTCCTCTGTGACCTTGGATATGTTACCCATGTGCTCTCACATACACAGCATATTTTAAAATGTTGCCTGTTATTTCTTAGCAGTTAAAAATAAGACTGTAACTGAAAAGGTAGATTAGTAGTAGTTGCCTTTGGTCATGTGATCTCTTTGTGGAAAGATCAGATCAGCCTTTTAAGACATCAAGAGAAAATTGGATCTTACTTTCCCATAAAGATTTTATTCAACTTAAATATGCTTCATACTCCCCAACTGTCATATTTGGAACAAGGATACTAAACCTTGGGAATACAGTTTTTTGATGCAATTGCTTGTCTAACACTCCACAGTGGAAAAAGCCCCCCACCCCCCGTTGTAAACTTCGTACTAAAAACTTTTTCTTGTATGCATTTTGACAAGACCAGTTATTATCTAGTATGTAATAATTTATAGATCTCTTCATTAGGTAAATCAATGCGTAACAGGTTAAATTGTTGAAAGCTCTATTTTCCTGTGTGCCTGTGTTCCTTACCACACACATTAATGTGTAAGCAGTGCTCTGTTCGCTGCAGGAGGGCCATCCTAGTTTAGGAAATCATTTTTAGTAATAAAGTTGGCTGGGGATATTATCAGGTATTTTGTCTACGTGTAGTAAAAAATCTTACATTTATTATAGAACCATTTTCTCTAGTGAAAGAAGTCAAGCAGCACTAAAAACTTAACCATTTAAGAGCTTCCTTTTTGTATTCACTTTTCTGAGTACTATGAATCCTCCTTAGTACTCTATTACTTAACACTTAAAATGGTACTCTTGATTTCCCCACCCATTCATTTGATAATCTTTCCCATCTTAATAAATAACACCATTTATTAACCCAGTTGCTCAAGCTGAAAATGTGGGACATATCCTTAATTCTTCCCCATCATTATTTCCCATATCCAGTCTGTCAGCTTACGTAGTTCTCCTTCCAGAAATACTCGGTCAGTTCTGTCATCCAGCTCAGTGTTGGGAAGTGGCCTCTTAACTCTTACTTCTACTCCAATTGTCCCATAACCCCTTTGGGCTGGGAACCTAGCTAAGCAGTAGAATGCCTAGCGTGTGTGAGGCCCTTGGTCCCATCCCCCATGTGGAAGAGGGTAAAAGGACAAGGCTCTCACCCATTCTCTACTGACTGCCAGGCTGGTCCTTTTGAAATATGAGTCAGGGCTAGAGGTTTACTTAGCTCAGAGTTAGAGCACATACTTAGCATGCAAGGCCTGTGTTCGGTTCCCAGCATCAGAAAAAAAAGTGACATATTACCCCCAACTGAAAGCATAATAATTTTGCGTTACACATATAAAAATTTAAAGGTCCTAGACAAGGCATGGTAGCAATACACTTGTAGTTCCAGCTCCTTGGAAGACTGAGGCTAGAGGATTCAAATTTGAAGCCAGATTAATAAACATGCCAATACTCTCGTCTCAAAATAAAACTTTTTTTTTTTAAGTGCTAGAGATATAGCTCAGTTGTACAGCACTTGCCTAGCGTGTTCTGGATCCTGGGTTTAATCCTAGTCCAAAAGAACCAAAGTTCTGCAATGCTTAGGATCTTACCCTTGCCTCTTTTCACTATATTCTAAGCACCAGCTACACTAGCTTTCCTTTTCTGTCCCTTATAGTAAAGCATTTCCTGTCTTGTTTTAGATCTTGCTCACATGTCATCTCAGAGAAGTCTCCTTGGCCCCCATTTAGAATAGTTTCCCAGGCCCCCTCTATCTAATCACAGTCTTAATTTTTCATAGTACCCATCCTAGTCTGAAATTATTTTATGTGTTATCCCCTTCTCAAAGCCCTCGTTACCATATGAGAATTGGGACCATTTTAGCCTGTTTTAGTTGCCTCTCCTCAGCATCTGAAACATACTGATAACCTGAGACATAGTGGGTACAAGGTATGTATTTGTGAATAAATTATTTATAAGAAAACTAATTAGAATTTATGTCCTATCATCCCATTTTCCCATGAAGATTCAGAATTGCCAGTTTAACGGGTGAAGGTTCAGAGCGACCAGTTTAACAGAAGATAAAATAGAATCGTCTATTGACTACTAAAATAGTATGAACCTCAGCTTTTAAAAAATTTTCTCCTTTGTGTATATGCCCATATAAATAGACCTAAAGATGCTCTCTATTCTTTTATAAACTATTGGATATTAGTAGTTGGTAATTGTAGGCAATTTAAATTCTTATTTCTGTAAAACGGTTCTCTTAAGTTTCTCTAAGATTTTAGAACATCATTTCTAATTAAGCAACCTAGACACTTCTGTATTTTAAATGATATTTGTTCCCAAAGAGGCATTCTGACTACTTAGGCAAAGGTGGGTTTTAAAGTATTATAAAAAACATAGTCTGAGTCTTTAAAATTATAAACATTTGTAATGATCATCTAGAACTAGAACTATATTTGTATGATGGGAAATTTTTAGTATACTTTTAGACCCTGATGGTACTAATTAGTTGCAGATGTTTCCATTCAGCTTTTTACTGCTTGGTATTCTCAGAAAAGGAAAATAATTTGCCATGTAATACTTTTAAATGTGATATAAGATCCTGTGAAGATGGGAGTTACAGTATTGAGAAACACAATTATGAATTTGAGTTTTATAAACTTGTTATGGTCCATATTTCTTACAAATTTTACTTTATAATCCGTGACTTTTATTTTATCTCACTACTTAGTCTGATGAAAGGAATTGATTATTTATTAGTGTAAGTTAGACATTTTCATTTTTACATGCATAATTTTACATGGAGGTTCCTTTTCTAATCAGTTTAAGTAATTTATAATATTTGAGTAACCTAAAATTTCATTCATAAATACATTTGTTTTTGCATTTTAGTAAATTGAACAGTAGATTTAATTGCTGTGTATTAACTGTCTCATTAGCTTTGGGGGAGCATTGAAGCCAGGACTTTTACACGTAAGCTGCATCCCCAGCCCCTCCCTTTTTTTTGAGACAGGGTCTTGCTAAGTTGCCTAGGCTGGGGTAGAACTCATGGACCTCCTGCCTCAGCCACAGTGTACTGGGATTACAGGCATGTGCCACCACGCCCAGCTCATTTAGCTACTTCTTAATTCTTAAATCTTCTGAATCCTACAGTGATATTAGTGCATAGTATCTAATCTTAAAAAGGCCTGACATGTGTCTAGTTGTGTTCAGTACATAGATGTGTGTTGTACCCGAGCAGACAGGGAGCTCCAAGTCTCCTGCTGGACCTGGGCTCTCAGATGACCTATACCTGTAGAAATTGACCCCCATATTGACCTGTGTGCAGCACCAGCCAAGCTGTGAGGATGCTGACTTGGAGAAGGAGGCGGGGCTGTGCATTCAGAAAGTCAGCAGAAGTATATTCATTGTAGAGTTCTTGTGCTCAGCTGTGAAGACTCTTCAAAGTAGTGCCAAATTTTATTGAGATTTTGCAGCCAAACAGGAAAAAGTGGTTTATGTGGATAGTGGTTCAGCATGAAACTTGGTCTGCAAAAGTTTGTTCTACTGATGCCTTAAGGCTTTTTATTCCCATTCTTTCAACTGGACATTAGTCTTTGTTATTTTAATTAGTAAAATGGTTGACTATGGTAAAAATACTGAAATAAAATTTGAATTACAATGAACACTTTTCTACTTTTATTTCTTTAAACAAAAGCAGATGAATTTTCAACAGTGACTCTTACTCAACCTCTTCATATTTTTAAACTCAAAGATTTGATGTAAGACTGTATAGGAATTTATTTTCCAATTAGGAGGTAATTTGAGCATAAGAAAAATTACAAAACAGGGTTTTGTTTATTTTTCATTATTTTTGCTGCTGCTGTTGCTTTCATCCAGGTTTTTGTAGTGTCACTATAAAGGCTACCTGCTTCATTATATAAAAATGAAGTAGTCAAGAGAACTCATTGACTAGTACTAAATATACCACGTTTACATAGTAACGCTAGGTTGAGCCCTCTAGTCCAAAAATCTAAAATGTTCCAGAAGTTGAAACTTTTGGGCCATGGGCATGACATTGTGAGAGGAAAATTCCACTCCTGTCCTCACGCATTAAAAATACTACATAAGGCTACTTTCAGGCTGTGAATAAAATGTGTTTCATTTATGAAAAGTAAATGGATTTTGTATTTATACATGGATCCTAGCCCCAAGATACCTCATAAGTGTATGTAATTGTCCTCAAATCTCCAGAGTACCTCTGGTCCCAAGCATTTCGGATAAAGGATCCAAACACATGACCTGTCTGAACCTGCTGCCTTTCATTTTATTATTTTATATGAGTTATGAGCCCCATGCAGCTGCTTCTCCCCACTGAGTCAAAGGCTATTCCCCAAGACCAATCTAGAGGCCTTATTTCCAAGTTCAACTCAGTCTCTTAAGATACTGAACTAGTAAAATCTCAATAAAATAGGTACTTTTTACTCATCTGTGTCCAAGAAAAGAAGCACATCAGTAGCAAGTATAAAGTATAGTTTCTCTGGTTTTTAAATAACTTCAAGACTTTTCTGTTGTGATTTATGTTCTACCCTTCTGGCGTTTTCTAACTAACATATTTTTCTTTACCTAGGTTACTCACTATAAACAATATCCACCCAACACAAGCAAAGTTTATTCCTACTTTGAATGCCGTGAAAAGAAGACTGAAAACTCCAAAGTAAGGAAGGTGAAATACGAGGAAACAGTATTTTATGGGTTGCAGTACATTCTTAATAAGTACTTAAAAGGTATTACATTTAAAACTCTGCTTTTGTGTAACTTCATACTTTTTCTCCTATATTGTTATAGTCTGTCACTTGAAGTGACTTTTTGAATAGTCTAATTTTGATGTCTCATTACTTTAACTCAGTGATGGCAAACCTTTTAGAAACAAAACAGCCCACTGCAGCATGTGTACCATAGGTCCACTGCCATGACTTTAACTATGTGTATGGGATTTTTGGTCTGTTGGAAAAATTTTTTGATCTGTTAATTTGAATGCATTAAACCTTAAGAGTTTTGTGTGTGTGCTTGGTATTCTAAGTATGAGAAAAGTTTTCTGAAACTGTTAAGTTTTGGAATAAAATTAGAAGAGTCAGTATTCAGAGGCTAATCTGATTTGCTAATATATTTTAGTGATTAATTCAGTTAAGAGAAAGGGCCGGGGATTTAGCTCAGTGGTGCTGCCGCCTGCCTTGCAAGTGGAAGGACCCGAGTTCAATCCCTGGTACCAAAAGAAAAGAAAAATAGACACTATTTCAGTTAAGAATTTGTTACCTACCCGGAAACTCATTTTGAATTACAGTAGAAATTATAACTAGAATAGTTCTATACTGGTCAGTTTTACCAGAAAACCCAATAATTTCTGTGTTTAATTTGAAAGGCCATTTTTAGTCCATTTCATAATGATGTTTTTAGAGGAGAAGAGTTCCCAAAGATCTTATACATCTTGGAAATTTTGAAATAAAGTTAATTTCAGAAATGAGTGTGAACCAAGTTTAAATTCATGCAAACGGTAACTTTTTCATCATCTGTTTTAAAATTGGATAGTTACACTTTACTATTGAAAACCTTGACTAGATTATCAGAAGTTCTACTTTGTGGCAAGACTGCCCAAGATATTTTAAATAAATTTACTAGTTAACCTTATATAGTTTGCAAAGACTGGTGGTACACTTTATTTTTTATTGGGGATCAAATCTAGAGCCTCACACATGGTAGGCAAGTTCTCTATCACTCAGCTACATTCCCACCCCTTAATGGTAGTTCTGCAGTTTAAAAACCTTGTAAAATATATGTGTTTAATATAACTAAAATATGTGGATTGCCCACTCAGGTCAGAGTTATTGTAGACAGTCCTGTGCCTAAATTTGTTTATTTCTTGCAGCCATCCTATAAGTAGATTCTTTCCTATTTTTATTTTATAGATAAAAAAAATTAAATAAAATTGTATTAGGGAAAAAAATTTAATAATTGTGAAAATTGCAGGCTTACTAGCCCTAAAGATATCACATTGTTTATGAATAAAATGAAAAGTTTCACCTGGAAAATGTACGAAGTTTTTGAATCATCTCAAAGAACGTCTCAATTTATACTGCATTTATTACAATAAAAAACAAAACAATGCAAGTAATACTTTTTTTCTGTTACCTGCTTTTAAAACAAGTAAACATTTATGGTTAAAGTGAATGATTGGAAGTATAAATCTCTTTTCTGACTCTCCTGTTAACCAAGTCATTTAACTTCTTGTTATTTAATCTATAAAATGGATAAAATACCTAAAGACATTAAATCCACAACAGTTCAGCAATTTGGAAAATGTCTCTAGAACTGTAAATGGGACATGTGTATCCTTTTAGGTAAGGTTGTGACCAAAGAGAAAATCCAGGAAGCCAAAGAGGTGTACAAAGAACATTTCCAGGATGATGTCTTTAATGAAAAGGGATGGAACTACATTCTTGAGGTAAAAAGTAGTTTCCTGTTTTGATCTATTGTGTTGTTGTGTTTAGTTCAATTTCTTACAAAGACAGTTGAATGGAAGATTGGACTCTGACCTGAATGTAATGGCTTTTTTTAGACATTCTTGTAAAAAGGTATAGAGTTAGCATTTGGTTTTTTTCCCCCAAGTGTAAATCATGACCATATAGACTGTATAGAACATCTAAGTAATTTGTTAGGTAAATGAATTATAACTTGAATAACATTTTTCAGGAAAGTAGTCTAATCCATTCATGAAAATCCACCTAAGAACATGTAATTATTAGTGAAAGAACACTAATAATTTTAAAAGAGTGTGGCTATTTGACAGTTTCAAAATGTAGTTCTATTTCCTTGACTGAAAATAGGTGCTGTGAGTCTGTAACTATAAAATAATTGTGGGAAATTTCTCTCACTGGTTAGAATGGTTTGGTATAGATCTATGAACTTTATTCTTTAGTTTATTATAATATTCATATCTATTATGTTTGAATCTATTGCTTAAACTTCTGAGGATTCAAAAATATAAACACTGAATTATAATGTTGAATGTCCTTTCCTGGTTTCTGTATTACAAATGAAATCTGTTGACATTTCATAATATTGTGTTAATTCATATCTCACAAATGCAAGTCTTTTACATCATATAATACATGCCTGTATTAAAATACTGAGTTTTACTCTTTGCTAATCATGGATCTTTGAAAAAGTCAAGTATGTGCACCATGCTGTGTAGTTAGCCACTGCTTTCAGCTGAAGGAAAGGTGGGGAAGGTTCAGTAAAATGCCTATTAACCTACCCTGGTAGCAAAATAAGCCTCAGCCTGATTATGAAGGGAACCTGTTACATTAATAAGAAGTTAATTAAGTCAGATTTGGGTGTTGCCAGGGTTCTGTGTTTGGCCTCTCATTGTTTCAGTCTGCTATGAGAATAAAGACAAGGGCCGGGGACTTAGCTCAGTGGCTTCGCTGCCTGCCTCAAAAGTGCAAGGTCCCAAGTTCACTCCCCGGTACCAAAAAAAAAAAAAAAAGAATAAAGACAACTCATTTAAGATTCTTCTGCAAGGATTTCCCTCTTTCTTTTGATTTCTTTTGTTCTGTTATAGCAATCCCTCATTTTATGTCTTTGACCTGTGTTGAAGAAAGGCAGTGTTCTTGGAATATTTTTAGAATACAGTAGAATGAAAATATAAACCTCCCTTGTTTTCTGAAAGGCCAGGAAAAAACTATTTCTGATTAGTCTCTTCTCTGATAAATATCCTTAGGAGAAACACTTGACAGCATTAAATTTAAAAATTAGTATCAGCGCCTAAATTATTAATAAGTAATTAATTTTAGGAAGCTAGGGATTTTCTAATAGATTATTGCTAACAATATAACATCTGCAACTGTAACTTCTATAACAGTAAATTTGGCTTCCATGAGATATAAGGAATCTTAGCAGGTGAGTATCCTGTGTTGAATGAATGAATTCGTTGTGTTTCCTACCAGAAATACGATGGGCATCTCCCTATAGAAGTAAAGGCCGTTCCTGAGGGCTCTGTCATTCCCAGAGGAAATGTTCTCTTCACAGTAGAAAACACTGATCCAGAGTGCTACTGGCTTACAAATTGGATTGAGGTGAGTAACTGTTGTTGTTGCTGTTTTTCTTAATAGGAATTGATGATAAAGACTGATTAAATTAGGGTTCTAGAGCTGAGAATTTGCTACTAATAAAACTATATAATCTCCTACAATTTACTTATCTTTTCCAAAACTCAGTTTCCTCGTCTATAAAATGACAATTGGACAGTTGAATCATTAAGGTTTTTTCCAGTGAAATCTAATGTTGGGTGATTTTATCTGAATCAAATTATTTTAAAGCTCAGTTAGGTTCCTTATTTGTTTTAATTCTAAATATATATTATCTTAGAGCAAAATTAGGAAAATAGCACAGGTATATTTTTAGTAACTTAAAAGACATTTTATGGAAATTCTGTTCCAGTTAGATTAGAAGAACATTGTTCCAACTTTTAATAACTACATTCTTCTCTGATCAGTTTAGATGTTGAGTTCTACCATCTGATATTTTTCAGCTTCTCATCTTAATACAAAAAAGATTTTCTAAACGTAAAAGGAGGGCATATTCTGAGCTGTTGGTTTGCATTGCAGGGTGGTTTTGGTTTTCCTTACAAGTACACCTTAAGTAACCATGGGCTTTTCACAGTGAGTCACTTTGTAGTAACTAACAGTCTCCTCAGCTTCTCAGCTCTTTAGTATAGATTCTTTCTGTAAGAGGAATTCCCTTTCATCTCATTGAGGTACCCTAAGTACCCTAACCTAAAGCAAATACTTATAAAAGTGTTACCGTTCCACCTTGCTTCATGTACGGTTTGCTTTATCCTCTTCTGAAAGTGAAGAAACACTGGCATTAAGAGGAACTTACTGAACTTTAAAACACAATAAAATTACTGAGTTGCTTTATTAATTTCAGTATTAGTGTTAGAAGAAACCTTAGTTCTCCCATCAGATTTCAAAACAAGAGAGCCTAGCAGCTCTGCCAAAATAAAAGGAAAAAAGATAACTTAAAAACGATTCCTCCAATGAAATGTTATTTCATAGATGAGGAAACTGAGTCCCGAGAGGTGAGCAGACAAGTAAACAATGTAGTTGTGGCCTTTCTTCTATACCACACCATTTCTCATTCTATAAAGTCCTGTCCTGCAGTGATATTATAATGGACAGATCTGAAAAGAAATTACAGGTTCATTTACTTTAGTCTTAGTTTTCAGCTAAACTTTTATCTTGTGTGGCAAATTGCTGTTTTGGAAAAGTTTCCAACAAGGCCTACTTCATCAGACCTTGGATTAACCCAGACTAACGTGCCTTTTTTTCCCTTGCTTACACCTACAGTGATCTTTTTAAAAGGGGAGTGATTTTGTTAAGAGTATAATTTAAGCTGATTTTGTTGGACTATGGAAGGAAATGTGATGTGAAGGATCACTGTGTCTGATAGTTATTTCTCTCCTTCCCTGGCATTTTTCGAGGGGTAAGGTCAATCTTCTACCTTTATAACTCAACTAGAGTTTTTCACATGTTTTATATCTTTCTGATACTCCTACATAATACTAATGTCTGAGTTGAATGAAAATGTGAGAATTGATTGAATTAAATTCAACACATAAACATTGATTGAGTATAAGCTGTATACCCAAAAAATGCTGGGCCCAGAAAGTAGAATAATATTTGTCTTACTAAGAAACCTGAGGGTCAGGTGGTAATTCATTCTTAACTTATATTTTATACTACACTGAATTTATGCTGTGTTGGTACCAGAAAAATAGATAATTCTGTCTAAGGAATTAAGAAATGGGAAAAAATTAACTTTTAATAAGAGGGATATAGAGCTGAGGGAACAGCTCAGTGTTTTTAGAATGACACATGATTCAGTGAGGGCTGTGGTGTTAATTATTATAGGAGACAAAATTTAGGTGGTAGACTGAGCAAGCTTACAGAAAGCCTCAGTTCTGTTTGAATTAGCTTTTCCTCCTTATGAACAGTAGGTGGCCAGTCAGGGCTTTTAAGGCATGATGCAGCCTGAATAACATTTGCTTTAGAATGGTAACAGGTGGAAATACAAAGAGTAAGTCCCAGAAGCTGAACATTAGGAGTAGGAGAATCATGGTCATTGGCAGAGGAATTTCAGGAGCAGAATGGTCAGAGTGGAGGTGACTGGTTGTAAAGCATGAGTTATGAGTTGCATCAGCTTCGTGTAACAAGCTACCCCCAGATTTAGTAGTTTAACACAACTGTTATTTCCCATGAGTCTATTGCCTACTAGTCTTGCGTGGACTTCCATTTCCGTTTGGCTGAGGGGTCAGCTAGGGCTGGGCAGCCTAAAAGATTCACTCCCATGAAGACGCCTTCAGCTCAGGCAGCAGGCACCCCTGGCTGCTTGTTAGCCAAGGCTGCTTCCCAGCATGTTAGTTCAAAACCCCTAGAAACTGGGGCTTTGAAGTCACACAGCATGACTTAAGCCATATTTGTTTTGCTTAAAAACGAATCATAAAGATAGTCCTAAATCAGGGGCTATCAGCTCTTGACAGGCGCCACAGGGGCTGTATTTAACCAGTCACAGGAGTCTGATGTTACAATATTTTTCTTTTTAGATGACCAGATTTAACCTTAGGCAAGCCTAAAGTTAAATAATCTCTTTACTTGTTTTTACTTGTTTTATTTACTGGTCACTTGTCTGGTATTTAGTAAAAGCTTGTTTTATAAAATTTAACTAAGAAATTATCTTTTTGTTTTAGCTCAGACATTGTTGTCATTTAACAGCTCTTTCTAAAATAGCTTTTAAGCTGCTTCTAATAACATAAGGTTTATAAAATAATGATCCTAGAGTGGAGAGGTGAATTCCCAAGCCAGAGTAATTAATGTGATTGCTGCGATTGAGCATTAGACTTTTCATTGGAGTTTCTGGCAGCCAAAAAAAAAAAGAAAAATCAAGTAGATGAAGTAGAAGTGGGGAAGATATGAGCCTAGCATTTCTTCCACTTCCTCATTTGAGAACATATAGCCACTGGCATTACAAAATGAGAGTGACCCTGTAGTTGTGTGACATATGCAGAAATGTTTCATGTGGCTTTCTCGTAATAAAACTTCAGTTAAAAACAAGGATAAAGCACAACTCGTCGAATAGAATTTTGTCATACTAAGAATGAAGTATCTCAAGTATGTGATTTACTAGTAGTTATACTAGATCCAAGACTACCTAGAGAAGGAAATGAGTAACTTCTGTAAACCAGTACTGTTCAAGATGTGGCCCATAAACCAGTGCTGCTTTGTGACCTGTTTGGTTCAGGTCCATATTCAGGGAAGAAATCAAGAATAAGTAGTTAGAAGCTTTTGGCAATTTGACATTGCCTCCACATCCACATGTGATTGAACTTTATAAAGTTATCAGTCCATGGCAGATTGAAAATTCTTTTAAAAATTGGTCCTTCACTAATTCTTTCAAAATATATTTTCCTTTTGGAAGGTTTAGATAGAAATGTGATAATTTGAAGTTCTTCACTAACAGTGGTTTGGCGTGTCACTTTTATTGCTGATTTCAGAGCTAAGCTGTGCACTGTATCTAAAATGCAAAAGTTATACATCCTGTTGTTCAATTGAAACATCTGATTGATATTTTTGATAGTGTGAAAGTGCAGGACATCCTTCCAGGAAAAGCTAGGATTTTCCTCAGAAAGAGCCTCGTATTTTATGTGTTAATTTTTGTGGTTGATTTTGTTACTACAGACTATTCTTGTTCAATCCTGGTATCCAATCACAGTGGCTACAAATTCTAGAGAGCAGAAGAAAATTTTGGCCAAATATTTGTTAGAAACTTCTGGTAACTTAGATGGTCTGGAATACAAGTTACACGATTTTGGCTACAGAGGGGTCTCTTCCCAAGAGGTAAGACACTGAAATGAACCTTGTTTATTAATAAAATGTGGATTGCTAGAGTAGTGCTCTCAATTTTTCAGTATATTATTGGGATTGATCTTGGTTCTATGTAGGCCACCTTTTGAAATTCCAGAGGTTCAGTCAGTAGACACATACTAAGTACCGACTATATATGTTCCTCTGTTCAAGGTTCATGGGATATATCCTTGAACATATGTCCCAGTACTTTAGATACTAGATGGAGGGATGGATAGAGAGACAGTAAAATGGACATAATAAACATCAGATGTCAAATAATGCTACAGAAAGGGAAGGCAAGGTAAGAAGAGAGAGTGGAAACTGGGGGAGGGACACTGTATTGTTAAATAGGTCTTGAATATCTCTGAAAAGCTAAAGACAGTGGGTGGTGAACCTATGACATGTGCACTGCAGCAGGTTATTAAAGCTCTAAAGGTTCGCCATCACTGGCTAAAGACAGTAAGTCCTTTGGGGCTATGCTAAATAGCTTAAATATGGATTTTCATTTTCATTTTTGAATTTTGGTTTATGTTGATTTTCCAGACTGCTGGCATAGGGGCATCTGCTCATTTGGTTAACTTCAAAGGAACAGATACAGTAGCGGGAATTGCTCTAATTAAAAAATACTATGGCACAAAAGATCCTGTTCCAGGCTATTCTGTTCCAGCAGCAGAACATAGGTAAAATTGTATTTGTTTTCATCATCTTGTTAAACATTTATTTTCTAAAACTAATTCTTTTCACTGTGGTATTTTAACTCAGTGATGTTTGCTGAGCTGCAGAGCCAGGTGCTGTGATAAATGTTCATGAACTTAAACAATATAAATTCAGTACTGTATTTGTACTTTGTATAAAAAATAGTCTCAGCAGGTTTAGATCTTTTAACTCCCCTGATAGGGCAATTTCAGGTCTTTATTTTAAGGTGTTTTATTTACTGTATTGCTATAAACAGATAAATTTGCTTCATTAAATTAAATCTGGAAACACCATAAGTATTGGTCACTTTTTTTCCCTTGCCTTGCATTTTATTTGCTTTCACTTGTCTGCTTGGAAATTGTCATCTGGACCTCAGTACCTTTAGTTGTAAATGACGGGTAAGCCCTTTTGATGAAGAGTGTTCAGACTATGTTTCCTTAGTTGCTTTTACTAAAGTAGAAGGAAGTTATAACCTAGGCTGCAGCTGCTCCAGTCCTAGAGTTCACTTTATTGAAAGTAAATAGAAATTTTAAAATATTTGTCAAATCATTTCTGGTTCTTAAGCATTGATATTTACCATAATCATTCAGGAATGTTAATTAAGTTCTACTCATTGAAAATTGCAGGGTGCTAAAACTAGCAGTGAGATGAGAATAAAGCTGAGGTTTGTTGTTAACTATTGATTCATATTAATTGGCCAGCCTTCATGTGCAAGGCAGTCTGCTGGGTGCTTTATAGAAAGATGTTAAATACTGACCCTCTCCTTAAAATAAAAATAGAACACTAGTAAAAGTCTGCTTTATTGGTTAAATTATTAAAGAGGTGCAATTAAGGTACTGTGGTCCAAGGCTAGAAGAAAAGGATCCTACTTCACTGGCAGGATGAAGAAAGGTTTATTAGAGATAGCATGTGAAATCTTGACTTCTTGAAGGAATGATACAATTTAAGGCAAACATTGGGTGGTCATTGATTCCCTGAATAATATTGTTTACATGTTTCCATGTGTCAGATAAAGGGGAGTGTGGGAATGTGTTCGAGGAATAATAGCAGAAAAGGATTTTGTAGGGAACATAGAATATTTTTAGTGAGAGCCGTCATACTTGTTTTAACATTGAGTGTTAACTGTGTGTACATCATACTAACTTATTCTTAATTAGGCATTTTCAAATGAGTGTAAGCCCTGAAGTTTTTGAGCTAAGAAGTTATGTTTCCAGAGATATATTTTAAGAGAATATTTTGACAGCAGGGATAGCCATAACTAAAAAAAGGAAAAACAGAAGCTAGGCCTTCTAGGAAACTTACAGCAATTTTGAGGTGAGAAGATCCAGAACCATGTGTCTAAATGAATGGAAATAAGTATATAAATATGAGTAATGGCTTAGGAGATAAAATTGCTAAAAATTTGATTGCAGTTGGAGTTGTTAGTAAATTGCGCCAACATTTATAAGCATTGCTGTAGATAGGGCCTTGTTGAACACTGTTACATATAAGGTTTAAGACTAATGAACAGAAAAAATTAAGGGCATTGTTAATACATAAGCTTTAGGGTTATTTTTATTTTTGACTTAGGTATATCCATCTTTTAAGAATTAATATGTTAATCATATACTAGGCTCTTCACTTATTTTGTTTCCAAGCCATAATATCAGTATACTTTAAACCTGAGAATAATGATAATATCATTTTCAGGACTTTGGTGTTAAAATGAAAAGGACACTATGTAGCACAGGGTGAAAATTCATTTTCTTTTTATAGTTTTATCCTATTTATTATATTTGAATTATTAATATAGAAGATTGCTCTAGATACTCTTATATAGAAACATCTTTTAAACAACAGTATAGTAAAAAAGGGCATTGGACTGAAAGTTGAGAAATGTGAGTGACCTTACAGCTGACATCATGGATGGCCTTGGGCAAGTCCTTTATCTCTGTTCTTCATTTACTCCATCTAACCAAACAAAAAGAAGAGGTAAAATTTAAAGCAGTTGTTTAATTTGATGCTTGAAATTAGGGGAATAGCATGGGTTGAATTTATTAAACAGAACAAACATTTATTTTCTTTTTTTTGGTACTGGGGATCAAACTCAGGTCCTTGTGCTTGCAAGGCAGGTGGCAGAACCACTGAGCTAAATCCCAGGCCCCCGAACAAAGATTTATGATGTCCATATAGAAATATTTTTAAGAGTAAGTGTTGCAGGATTGTGCAGTGGGAGACCATGGAACATGTCTCCTTCCTATGTGGCCTCCTCCCTAACAAATCGCTATGGAGCCCAGAAGAGAAACATGAACCACCATAAAAATACTGGAAACCCTCACTACTGAGGTAATTTTGCACACTTCAGGTCTTTTACACAGGAAGGGATTACAGAAGGAGACAAGTGCCTGAGAGAGAGCAATACTAACATTTGACAGGTTAGATGGATGCAGAACACAGCGTCTGGGGAAGATGGAAGAGGAACCTACAAGTAGGAACGGGACTGAAATGTAGAAGATATCACTGATAATAAAGAAAGAAAGCTTCTGGAAAGTTCACATAGCATGGAGAAAGCAAGGAAGAGGAGAGCTAAACATTGACAGCTGTACTGTTAAAACTTGAGTAAAACAGTAGCTGCATAAACAGTGACTTGAATGTAGGAGTTTGTTCCTAACATTGTAAAGCTCTCCAGTGTTGATAGTCATTGAGCTTAATTCTCTTCCTTCTGAAGAGGACAGTAGCAACTGTAAATTTGAAGAAGGGGGCTTCTCTCTATATATCGCACATTTCCCTTTGGCCTGAAGGTGCTTACATGAATCAAAAACTGGTGTCATAGCCATTGGCAGCCTATTGAGTTTCTACCACGAGTATTCACTGTCAAATGAGTTTGATATGAATAGACCCTTTCTGGGTTTCAGACAGTGGCATTGTCAGGGTCACTAGGTGTTTAGAGTCCAGAAGTGTACCTGCTCACCTACTATCTGCCACCATATGAGAAAATGAGTTTACTCCAGTCCTTCAGGACAAAAAAAAGAGAATTGTATGAAATGGCAAATTCCAACTTAAATTAATATAGCTTTTCAGACAGTTTTGGTATAAACTTAACAGTTACATGTGCTTTGTAATGAATGGACTGTCATTCGTTATTTCACTGAGGACAGGGTAAAGGCTAAAACTGTAAAATTAGCAGGGAAGAAAAGTGGATTGGCATAAAGAAATTATAATAATTTTCAAATTCATTATTAAATTTTGTAAGACTTTAATTATGCTGCATATTAACCAACAAATACTTAAAATTACACATTAGGTACTAAACTATTCAATAAGAAAAACCATTATTGAGGACTTTGGAAAAATCACAATAGCAATTCTTGCCTAATATTCTTGCCTCTAAATCTATAAGCTGTCATGTTCTGTTCCCCATCTTAATTATGTTTTCTCAAACTAAACTTTAAAATTCCTGATCCTTGGGCATATATGAATAGTATTTTATAAATAAAATAAATAACTGCCTATTGCCTACCATTTGGTGTAACAGGCAAACACTTAGTTGACTATACATGAGTGGTATAATATAAACAATTGCTTAAGTAATTGCCTTTAAATGTAGGATTTTGTAAGATAAAAAAGACAAAACATATGTCCGTAGAATTGCTGGTATGTAGTTTCAAACATTCACAGAAAAGAGTCAAATGCTTGCAATGCCTAACAAAGTAATGAGAGTATGTATTCTTTGTAACATCCTGGCATAAAGTATGGAAGGCATTTAGAACAACTGAAGCAGAATAAGGTAGTGTTAAAGAAATCAGGGGCCGGGGATTTAGCTCAGTGGTTTTGCCGCCTGCTGCACAAGTGCAAGGACCCGGGTTCGATCCCCAGTACCAAAAAAAAAAGATTTTTTAAAAAAATCAGTCAAGTGCTGGTTTGGCCTAAATAATCTATTCCCTTTGATGTGTATCCATTAAACTAAATCACTCACCTTCCCTGTAATGTTGCTGTAGCACAGTGAATGTAATATGTGGTTAACAGTGCTTTAGGAATAGATTATATGTCTGCCTAAGTAAATGTGTATTTTTATTTTGTTTTCTAGTACGATAACAGCTTGGGGGAAAGACCATGAAAAAGATGCTTTTGAACATATAGTAACACAGTTTTCATCAGTGCCTGTATCTGTGGTCAGTGATAGCTATGACATTTATAATGCGTGTGAGAAAATATGGGGTGAAGATCTAAGACATTTAATATTGTCAAGAAGTACTGAGGCACCACTAATAATCAGACCTGATTCTGGAAATCCTCTTGATACTGTATTAAAGGTAAATTTTACTGTGTAACTTGATTATTAAAATGCCTGTAGACCAACTATATTAACACTATTAATTTCATTTGTATGTACACTATGTCAGAGCTTTCTAGACTAATCTCTTTATTTTTTTAGAGTTACATCCAGAGATAATAATAGATTTACCCGTGGTCACACATAATAACAGAGAAAGGATACAAAGAGTTACAGGCTATTTATAAACTTGTCAAACATATAACTAGGTACTACTGAATGGATACTTTCTTTCCTCCATACCTTCAAAATCAATTAATAGCATTACCATTTTAATCAATCCTGTGATTGAGTCACCAGCTTTATTGTGGTTTATCTCTTTAATCACAAGTCATTGTTATACCCTGGAAGTTGTTAGTACAGAAAAAAATACATTCAGGATTGTATGAAATAAGTAATTCAAAAATACTTTTCAAGCAGTGGTTCTTTAGAGGTACTGTTGATTCTTAATATAGCAATTGGTGTATTTTTTTGTGTTCTGGACTTGATTTGCCTTCTTCAAAAAGCACTGATCAGAGGATTAATTGTTGTTTGCTACAAAAATAACTGAATTGCTTTCCTTTAAGATGTATCATCTGATCTCGTCAAAAAAAAA